CCCCCCCCCCCACACACACCCGCCCACCCACCCACACACAGAAACATGCGCGCGCGTTCTTTTTTTTGTATCAATCAATCAGTCTGAAACGGTTTTCACCAACATCGCGTAACAGACACAGTTCTCAGGGCTCGATCCAATGACCTGTCCCCTTTCCCGTGTAGAGTACCCGTTGACCCCTTCGTGCTTGAACCTGCGACCTGTCGCTGATAGTCGAATGTTCGATTGCTGTACGTAGTCTGGTCGCGTGGACTCGACCCGCAGACTTTAGTTTTAGTAGTCGTAGGGTCAGTCTAGGCCGTAGCTGCTACAGTTCCGAAAGGTCAAGTCCTACCTTGCCTAAGACCTTCTAGATGAATCCGAACTGGCTCTTCGTAGGATCTAGGAGTCAGTCCGGACATGAGTCAGCACAGGGTAGTCGTACCCTGGTCAGCAGAAAGCAGTCCCAGTCCTATTCTAGTTTAGTCAGCAATACCCAGTCCCAGTCCTAACCTAGTACAGTCAGCAAGTATCAAGTGGGACTGTGCGCATTCTGGGCCTGCACCACGAGGCCAGACCACTGACGAAACAAGTATAAATAAAGAGGCAGCGTCAAGTCATTCATTCATTCTGCCTGTGAGCCATGCGGAAGGGCTGCTTGAGCGGCTTGTGCATCGGAGGTCTGCAGGTGCCCGAGGAAGAAGTGGGCTAAGAGGTTGAAGAAGCGGCCATTGCTGCTCGCTAGCATAGGAGGGAGACGGAAGCCATAGCTGCCACATAGGATAGTGTAGGAGGGGTGTTCAGCGTGTGTGTATGGGACATTCAGGGTGATCCTAGCTAGTGTCGGATTGTGTGCGAGTGTGTGTGAACAAGTTGCTGGTGGATACAGTTAATAATCGGGAGGGATTTTGTCAGGCGCTGGGCGCCATAGCCATTCAAGACAAGTGGAATTTGAACTGTGATCCTGGCCACGTTCTAATCTCTGAGCTTTGTGTGGGCGCATAGCGCCAAATCATGTTCGCCATCTGTTTGCATGCATGTTGGAAGCGAGTTTGCACAAGTCCGATTTTACGTCAACCAATCAATCAATCAATCAATCAATCAATCAATCAATCCATCAATATGTGTGTGTGTCAAAAAGAAAAAAAAAAACAGAAAAAAAAAGAAAACCGTTTGTAAGCTGTTTTTGGCTTTAACTTCGTGTTTCTTTTATCTTTTCTGAAGTTTTTTCCCTTTCATATTTGTGAAAGGCATTCCACGATGCAGAAGGTCTCAGGCCAAAAGAGGCCAAAGGAGGCCAAGTCGGTCAGTTCAGAAAGGTCACTGTCGGGTACCCCAGGGGGGTCAAGACCAACAGGTAGCCGAACAAAAGTCATGTCCGATAAGCAAAAAGTCACGACTCACAGTCAAAAGCCATGCCCCACCTGCAAGAGTCACATCTCACAGTCAAAATTCATATTCCGTTGGCAAGGGTCATGACGAACACGCAAAAGTCAAGTCCCAGAAACCCAAAGCAGCAGCACACCAAGAAAAATCGAAAACGTACCGGGCCTCACATTCTGAAGCAAGCAGGCCGCCGGCATGTGGTACCAGGTCCAAGTCAAGCCAAGAGAAGTAGAGGCTGGGACGAGTCAAGGCCCAGTCCAAGTCAATATAAGGACTGGCCAGCCACTTTTTCAGGGGGATTTCTCATCCGGAAGGAGTGTGGAAGTGCTGCTCGCAGTTGTCCGCTAGCACTGAAGATCACGAGGGGCAGCTTGGTGTTCAGGAAGAGAGCGGCCATAGCCGGCCACACAGCTAGTAGCAGAGAGTAGAGCAGAGAAGTAGCAGATGTATTCAGAGTCGAGATCCTCAAGCAGAGAGAGAGAGGAGAGAGAGAGAGAGCGCATGCATGAAGAAGACAGAGAGAGAGAGAGGAAGGGAGCCAGAGAATAAGAGAGAGGAGAGTCGCTTACCTTGGCTGAGCCGCTGAGGACGCTGGCTACGAGTTGCTGAACTCTGCGCTGATGAGCGCCTGGTGACTTGAACTCTGAACTGTTTAATTATTAACTTTAATACGATAACATTTTTTATTTTTTTATTTTTTTATTTTTTTTAATAAGAAAACAGGCCTTTCGGTCCTGGCTCCTTCTATTCTGGGGAGCGTCAGTCCGGTTCCTATTCCACCGGCAAGTCAAAAAGGAAGATTACTTTACATCATAGACTCACGCTTCCTCCCGTTTGGCCGAAGGACCCCTGAACAGCATTGATTGCATTGATTGCTCCACCATTGGTGGAGGATAAATGTTGGAACTTCTAAGCTGTGCTTACCAGGAATTTGCATCTCTGGTCTCCAGTGTGGTTTTTGCGTGATCTCTCAATGTGTGTGCGTGCTCGAGGTGATGAACAGTGAGGTTCAATGCATTAAATTTTGCATCTGTTCTTCAAAAAAAAAGAAAATCCATGCGAAACATGTTTATCACACTTGCAATCACAAAAAGACGGAAAAAAAAAAAGAAGCCTTTTTTAATACTTTTTTAAGTTTTTTTAAATTAGAATACTTCTTTTCTCGTTTTCTATTTTTTTTAAAGAAAAAAGAACGTTGAAATCCCCCCCCCCCCCCCAAAAAAAAAAGAGTTGTAGGGCTTTTCAAACCCTCATGTACCTTCCTGGGCATGCTTGGCGCCCACCACCTAGAGATAGCCCGTTGGTCCCCCCAATTGACATTAAAAAGCAGTCTCTGCTGATTTTCATAGGGGTAGGGGTAATCGGGGAGGCACAGCGACTGGCCACTCAGATGATGCTCGCTCGGTCCCTCTGCTACCGGCTGTCCCCCTGGCCGGTGTCCCCCATTGGGGGTTCCCTGAAGGCAATCAAGGCCACCCTGGGCTGAAAAGGCCACCCGATGTCAGATTAGACACAATATTGAATTTACCTGGGCTGGTTAGTCCGATGATAATACCTCAAGGCCAACCCTACAACCCCACTTCTTTTTTTATTAAATGTATGTCATTATATGACAAATTCTTGGCCACCCGTGCCCACATGGCCGAGGCCCGCAGTCGGGTTCCCAACCGCTGAGCAAGTTGGACCCCATGTTCATGACTGTGGGGGATACCTGCAAAAACACAGACTTAAGGCACACCACAAAGGTTACTCAGGTTGGAGAACAATGCTGATGTCAGGGTTTTGCCACTGGAATGTTTGCTTTGCTGAGATTCCCAATTGTTGTCGAGTTTCCTAAGGGCCAGATCCCACTGGCAAAGAGGATTGGAACAAGTGTCTGAATCTGGACGTGTTTGTGGCGAGGTGCAGAAAGCTGTGATTGATCTGCTTTCTGCATCTCTGCGTGGAACACGTCCAGATTCAGACACTTATTCCAATCGTGTCCTTGCCAGTGGGATCTGGCCCTAAGTCTGTGTGTTTGCATGCTTGTTAGTTTTTGTGCCTGCCTGAGTGTGTGTGTGTGTGACCCGCCAGGGTACTTGTTCCTTTGGGAGGCCCGTGGGGCCAGTACTTACCTGTGGCCATGACTTTGAGGGTTGCAGCGGGGAAAAACACTAAAGTCAAACGGGGTAGCTTAGGGCACACCCCCGACTGTTAGCGGTGTCTGCTCTTATCAGCACCACTAACACTGACAGGGGCGCGTTTTCGGAAAAAAAAAAAAAAAAAAAAAAAGCTTAGGGCACACTCGAGCAGCGGTAGTGTAGGTAGCGGTAGTACTTTTTATGTATGACTGCTGAGAAGGCCATGGTCGTTGGCTGTTGGTTGTTGGTCACCTATCCTTTCCAGTGACACCGCTTTGCGCATCACAGCTGCATTTTTGGTCCTCATGATCCCACCCACATTGGTGTAGCGGCACTTAGTAAACAAGCACTAGCACTTATTAAACAAGTACCACCAACAGCACCACCAGCCACAACAACAACAGATGCGCATTGCACATACATCAGCTGCAACAATCTCTTCATCACGCTGTGCAATGCCAGCAATATCAGCATCAACGACTCCAACATGAACACCACGTGCATACACAGCAGCTGCAGCAGACGCAATGGCAGGCGCAGCAACAACAACAACTACAGCAGGGTTATGTTGAAGAGCAACTCCGCCTTCTGCTTCATGCACAGCTCGCTCAACACCAAAGACAACACCAGCAGGACATTCTGATACAGCAACAACAAACCCTGAACCACATCCACCTTCAGTGGCAACAGCAGCTTTGCCACCAGCAACAGCTGGTCCTCCAGCAACAGCAGCCCACACCCACTGGCAACACGAGCAGGAAAAGCCAACTTCAAGGCTGTGGCAACAGGAACAACAACAACGCCATATGGCGCTGCCCCCACCCCAGCAGAACCAATGCCTTCTGCTGCCACCCATTGAAAGAGACCAGCATGGTGGTCAGGAGATCCTGGAAATGGACACCTCTGCCCTGGATCAGGACCGTCCACCAGAGCACCAACCGGACCACCAAACAAAGGAGGAAATGGAAAACGCCCTCACGCTTGCCAACAATGAGGACGTCAAACACAAACTGTGCTTGCTCACCAACTGGACACTGCTGAAAATCTTCTCGTTGACTGAGAAGACAGGCCGACGAACAAACTCACAATCTGGTACTGGGAAGAGGCAAAGACAGTTCCCATGCACAGCCCACAAATCTCGGAAGCAGTGGAAAAGCAAGATGATGTGTCCGCCATTGACTGGATGGATGTGGGGGCAGCCATAGTCTTTGTTGTCCTTAAAGAGTTCTTGGACAAAATGGATCAGTTTGCGCAAGCAACATGACCAACGCACGACACAACCCTTCACGACGCACAGCAGAAAACACAGCGCTCCTGAAGCCCAGCTAAACTAAAGAGACTGAAAGAAGGACCGCCACTCGAGACACAGGCTTACCCTGGAACATGTGCCTACAGTCTTCCCCCGAATACAACGCATGGTCATTATAGCCGAATTTGGTCCATCTTTCAGTCTAAATTCAGCTATAATGACCATACGTTGTATTCGGGGGAAGACTGTAGAAGTTGATACCTTGCCTGCACTGCTGAGAAGGTTGTGAATGAGATGGATAATATGTGTCCTGCACAGTCTGTGTTGCCGAGCTAAGCTCGATCTAAGGGCTGAAGAATTAAGGGCCCGGCCTCAAAAGATTTAGGGAAAAGGGTTTAGGGGTTTGCAGGTTTGCAGCTTGATGGCAGAGGAACGACTTATTAAACGGCTGAAAGAATTTGGTCGAATAGAGGCCCCGTTTAAATAAAATAAAATAAAATAAAACCGGGACCATAAGGCCCTGTTGAAAAAAAAAAAAAAAAAAAAAAAAAAAAGAGTTCGGTCGAATAGCTTTATTAAGGGGTTTGCAGCTCGACGACCCAATTGCTGGACTGTGGAGTCACCCCTCTGGACACAATTTCTGCGTGATTTCTGAAATTTGTAAAAAAGGGAACGCTCAGCCCGTTTCCCAGCAAGTGCAGCTCCCCACCAATAGATGGAGCCTCCCTGGGAGTAGCTTGAGATGTCTTCTCCTACCAGCATCTCAAGCTGCTTCCGGGGCTTGTTCAGCTTTAAAAAAAAAAAAAAAAAAAAAAAAAAAAAAAAAAAAAACAAGCACTTATTAAACAAACAGTCATCGACCATTTCCATGGAAGTTAACAATCACAGGTGTTGTAGCCTCCAGGATGTAGTTGTGCCAAATTCGCCAATTGTGTAGAAGAGACACCATAGCGACACTGTTGGCCAACAGTCCTTGCTCACCTAAAGAAAGACTCTGAGGCCTGTTGTTGCTGAACCCTGTCTGATATCATTTATTCTGCACTCTTCTACTATATACAAGTGCTTTAACTCCTCTTTTCCCTCCTCCTCCTCCTCCTCCTCCTCCTCCCCCTCCTTACCCCCCTCTTTGCTGCCTCCTCATTATGATGTTTGCATGGCAGTGTGCAATCTGTTTGATATCATTTGTTCTGCAGTATTATTCTATATAGTATATACAAGTTCTTTAACTCCTCTTGTCCCTCCTCCGCCGCCGCCTCCTCCTCCCGTTCCTCTTTCTCTTTGCCTGCCTGCCTTGTTATGTTGTTCACATGGGACTGTCCAATCTGGTAAACTAGTACGGCAGCTACGACTCCAATTTCCAAACAGGAGTTACAAAACACAATTATTCGCATCGTCCTACGAGGTAGACAGCCCCGAATTAGTTGGACGCTAACCTTCTCGTAGCGATCCTTTTCCCTGAGGGGGGGTGACGACATGTCCCGTCTTGTGCTGATTCTTCTTCCTGAGTGGGGGTGACAGCGCAAGCAGACATGCTTCATGCCCCACAACCTTTGCAGGGAGATTGCTGAGTCAGCCTTCTGCACTGCACTTATTCAAGAGGTCATCATCATAGTACTTAGCGATCATCGAATGATCGCGCGATCATCGAATGATCGCTCAATGAAGATGCAGCAAATGATCATCAACCATGATCCGTTTGCTAAACAATCACTGCATGAACATTGAATGATCATTCTGTGACCCCTGCAGTGAGTGAAAAAATCATTGATTGAGTGGCTGCTGCCAGACGATAAGCGATCATCCATCAAGCATTGGGTAATCAGGCAGCAGCATCCAGCCTTTGAATCTCAATGCTTACCTTATCTATTTCTCTGAGACGCACCGCAGTCGGAGGATGTGTCGACAACACACTCAGAAAGCCGGATACGAAACCTGGAAGCAGCGAGGAAATCCAGCCTTTATCCCTGTGGATGAACATGTGGGCGACATGTCGCCCCTGGTACATTCTTTGCAGATCCCTTGGTCTTCTTTGGCGATCGTCATTACCATCGGAGATCTTTAGCAGTGCACTTTTCAGTGGCTCCGCGTCCGTCAGAGCCACACCAATGCTGTCGGCAGAAAGCTCCTGCCTCCTTGAAACAGCTCTTTGCATTATAGTCCCGATCGCATAGGCGACAAGACCAACAGCTATCAAAGGGAATGCGATGGCGCGCAGGTCGATGGAATCCCTCTCCTGTGGGGGAAGAGGTTCTCCACCCTCCCCTCCATCGACCTCTCGATCATCCATCCCAAGACCAAGCACACTGCCCAACCTCCGCGAACTGTACAAGGACGCGGCCTTCCACATCCGCATCCCAAGCATGAGAACTCCATAGAACCCGAGCAAGATGCTCGCCATATGGGTCCCGCTCCGCATATCACCATTGATGATGTGGCCAATTTCATGCCCTAACACAGCCGACAACTCAATGTTGGATAGCGTGTCCAGTAGCCCCTGTGTCACACTGATGGATGCGTCTCTTGACTCAGACAAGCCTGTTGCAAATGCGTTGAGCTCTCTGCAAGGAACGATGAAGATGCGAGGGCAAGGAATGCCAGCTCGGAGACTGATGTTGCGAACAATCGAGATCAAGTCGGCATGCACATCAGGGTTGGCCTCTGTGCCACCGAGGTCTCGCGCAATCACAGCCCCGCTTCCTCCTCTCTCGCGCAATGACATCAGGCTAATCTTCACAAAATTCAGTATCGCAATCACGGAAACAACTGCAGCGAAACCGCCACCAATTGCCCACGGCGGAACCTTCAAGCGCGGGTGCAGAAGATACTCGAGCGCGGATGCGCTCGCCGCTGTCAATGCACCGAAAGAGAGCCAATAGAGGATAACTCTAGCCAGCCCCCTTCTCCTCTGACGTTCGAGGAAGAAAATACTTCCTCCTCCTATTGACAAATCCCTGCTTTGTGAATTTGTAATCCCTCCAGACGATGACAACAGCGAAGAAGAAGAAAAAGAGGAAGACGAACGAGAGTCCTGGTCTTCTCTGAGGAAATCATCATCAGGATAGGGAGCACTGATTGAATATGATGCTCGCCCCGCCTGTCCGCTCCCAGTCAACCTCCTGGGTACCGTTGCTTGCCAAGCGAGAAGCTGTGGAGAAAAGAAAGGCATTGAAAAAAAAGGCATTTTTTTGTCATTATCTGATCATTGCCATCAGCCCCAAAATAAAATTGAACTTACTTACGAACTTAATACGAAGTAGTAAAAATTTACTAAAAACTCAGTAAAAGTTAAAAAAACTCTTTTGTAGTAGTTTGTACTAAGTTTGTACTATGTACTATGTAGCATATAATATGATATTAATATCATGATTTCATTAAATTCATAAGCTTGCAGATTGCACGTAAACGACAGGAAGTGGAACGGCAACGAGTCCGATTGCGTTCAAGAGAAAGACATGGACCATTACTGTCTTCTCCCACACATAGACAATATATCTGTGGGCGTAACTTACGACTCTGCATCTGGCCATAATCCTGTCCTCGATACGTACACCAAAGGAAGCCATGAGCACATTCACTGGGTTTCATACTTCTTCCTTGTGCATGACCCACACAAATCGCTGCCTGAGATTCCCGCAATATCTGAGAAAATGCTGTTCTTTTGCAATCAGACTCGGCTTATTCACTCTTCGTCATGCATGTAAACAGCGATACAGCAAACTGGCGACATGCGCCCACACAGTACTCAAAGATATCGTGACCAGAGTTCTCTTCCAACTGGCTTTGGCGACTGTGCGCCCACACAACTCACTCTTCACACTCTGGATCACCCTGGATGTCCCACACGCAACGCTCAGTATCCATACACAACACACACATACCCTACGCTACAGCTATGGCAGCGCTAGCTGCCACTRCCCTACCGCTACACTACGCTTCTCTGCCCTCTTCGTCTTCGGGCGCACTGCAGACCTCCTCGCACAAGCTGCTGAGGCAGCGCTTCCGCATGGCATCCGCAGGAATGAATGAATGGCTGGACGCAGCCTCTTGATTTATACTTCTGCGCCGYGTTGGTMTGCCCTGTGTCCCTTGGCACTTGGTGCACACAGTCCCAGACGGTACTTGCTGGACAGGACCGGACTGCCTAACTGGGACTGTTGACTCAGCAGGGTGGCCTACCACCACTTGACCACTTGCCTCTGTTCAACGTAGGCTCACTCCGAAAGGCCACTTCTAGAGACCTCTGACTTGGCCTTTCGGTGCTGTAGCAGCTACGACTTTGCCCCTTYAGGTARGTAGCAGCTACGACCTTGACCCTTCAGACAACCTACAGCTACRGCTTYGGAWCTGTCTAGACTCCTACCCTACAAGTCTACAGTTYGATTCCCTTCTAAGCTGTGACCTACGACAATCTACCTACCACTGGCGTTCCTACAGGTCGCAGGTTCAAATCTACGGGTTGGCATCAATACTGTACACAGGTAAGACGGGGAACTAGGGATCGAGCCCTGGGATCTGCATTCGCTACTGCGAATTGGTGAATACCGTTTCACTCCCGCCGGCCTAAATTCGAGGTCCTCCGAGAAAATTTCAGTCCAAGGCAGGACCTTTACCTTTCTGTTTTCTCTCGTAGGCTCGGACTATATCAGGAGCGGTCTCTAGAAGTTCAGATCTTGTAAACCAGCGGTCGTCTTCCGGTTCTTGATAGCTAAAATGAACCTTGTACTGTTTCTGTGGATGACCCCTACCTCCAGTTCTGAATACATCCTCAGCAACTATACCATCGATGTCATACCTTCCATCCATATCGATGTCATACCTTCCATGCCATAGATCTACGGGATGGAAACTGATCACTTGTTTGACAAGGTAACAACTTCGATGCATGGAAAACTGGGTAAGTGTGGAGGTGGGCTGGCAGCTCTATGGTGTAGGACGGTCCATCTTCGCCGCCCTTGACTTCTAGGACTGGCCACGGTCCTCTATAGGTGGGCAGCAACTTCTGCGAGATGTTCTCCTCAGGTGCAAACTCCTTAGAACTAACCCAGACTAAGTCGCCTACTTGAAACTGTGAAGGGCGACGATGTTTGTTCGCTTGCTCAATCATCCTATGCTGGGCTTTCCTGAGGTTCTCCACAACCGTAGCTAGTTCTTTCTCGTGCTGTACAGCAAACTCCCTGATCCCGGGCGACAATCTGTGAATCTGATCCCGGTTGAGTCCCTCAAACGGTCTGCGCGGTCTAAAGGACTTGTGCAGTTCGTTGGGAGTGCGGCAGGTGGCTAGATGCACGCTGTTGTTGTACGCACTAGCTACTTTGGGCAACATCTCATCCCAATTAATCTGATCTGGCCTAATGTACATGCGCAGAACTTGCTGTAGGATCTTGTTCATCTGCTCGGTCTGACCGTTAGTCTCTGGATGACGGCCGGACGACGTCAACAACTTAGATCCATATACTCCCATGAGTTCTTGCCAGTTCTGGCTAGTAAAGCGACTATCTCTATCGCTAACTATCGACAGTGGGATCCCATTCTCACTTACCCAACAGTCGAAAACCCTCTGTATGACTAAATCGGTACGTGCCTCTGAAGGCAAAGGAACAGAAACTGCGTATTTACTGAATCGGTCAACTATGACCATGACTTGGCTCTTGCCATGCCTGCTTTTGACGTGGGTGTCCATGAAGTCTATGGACACCGAGTCTCCCGGCTGATCCGGAATGGGTAAGGGTCTGAGAAGACCTAACGGAGCACGCGTAGAAGTCTTGTTACGCTGGTAGACTTTACAACTGCGAACATACTCTACGCAGTCATTCTTCATCCCTAGCCAGGTATATGCACGCATTAGATTGGCTAAAGTCTTCTGCCAACCAAAATGACCCTCTATGTCGTGGCATTCTCCCAAGATCAGACTACGGATCTCTTCGCTATTGGGAATGCACAACCGGTCAAAGACATTAGTCTTCTCAAATAGCAACCCTTCAGTAGTGCGGTAGTTTGGCCCAGTCTTTGGGGCCTCTTTGACTTTCTTAAGGAGGTCACTATAGATAGGGTCCTGCGCGTACGCTTCTCTAACCATCTGCTGCAGGTCTTTCCCTATATCAAGATAATGCACTATCGCCCCAAAGTAATCAGCCCTTCTACTCAGAGCATCCGCGACTACGTTGTACTTCCCTTTGACAGGCTTGAGCTCGAAGTCGTACTGATCTATCTCTGCGGCCCACCTAGTAAGCTTAGGTGTCATCTTGGCCTGCGTCTTTAACCATCGTAACGTTTCATGGTCAGAATAGACTTTGAAGTGCCTCCCAAGCAAGTAGTGTTTCCAATGGTCTAACGCTTGCATGAGAGCGTAGAGTTCCCTCTCATAGGTAGATGTCGCGACCTTCTCTGAAGGCATTCTAGCGGACATGAACTCTACGGGTCTATAACCATTACCATCGTCTTGCTGCGACACCGCGCCTATGCCGTACTGACTAGCATCCGTAGTGACGACAAAAAGCAAGGACGGATCGACGACTTTAAGCACTGGATACTCTATCAAGGCCTGCTTCAATTTCTTCATGGAAGACGTACAGTCCTTGTCCCACTTCCAAATGGTCTCCTTTCTCAACAGTCTGCGAAGGGGTGCAGCGATGGTGGAGAAGATCCTCACGAACTTCCTATAGTAATTAGCTAAGCCCAGGAACGAGCGCAACTCTGTCAGCGTGCGTGGTGTGGGCCAAATCTCTAATCGCAGCGATCTTGCTATCTTCTGGCTTAACGCCGTCTCCGTCTAAGACGTGGCCTAAGTACAAAACTTGGGTTTTCGCCCAATCGCACTTCTTTGCATTGATCYTGAAGTTAGCTTCCCTCAGCTTCTCCAAGACCTGCGTGAGATGACCCTGATGCTCTTCGAGGGTCCTGCTAAACACTAGAATGTCATCTAGATAAACTACAACAAATCTGTCTAACCACGGCCTAAACAAATCGTTCATACAGCGCTGGAACGTGGCTGGCGCGTTGGTTAGTCCAAAGGGCATTACTATGAACTCGTAGTGCCCATATCTAGTCCGGAAGGCTGTCTTATACTTATCATCAGGATGCACCTCTATTTGATGATATCCGGACTTCAAATCTATCTTAGAAAAATACTTCGCCCCCTGCACTCGATCTAAGAGATCGTCTATCCTAGGCAGTGGCTCAACATTCTTTACCGTAATAGCATTCAGACCCCTATAGTCTATGCACATTCTCAGCTCTACCTCTTTTTTCTTAGGGACAAAGAGAACAGGCGCCCCAAACGGAGACGAACTGGGCCTAATCCAACCCTTCTTGAGGAGCTCGTCTAACTGCTTGCGAAGCTCCTCTAACTCCCGTGGGGACATCCTATACACAGCGCCCTTAGGAGTTCTATTGCCAGGCTCTATTTCGATACGGTGCTGGATGGGCCGCGGTACTACTCCTATCAGCGGCTCAGTTAAATCTTTAAACTCCTCCAGCAGCTTGGCAATCGCAGGGTCCATCGGCTTCTCCTCCGTAGGCTCAGTCACTAGCCTAACATAGGCAACAAAAACCTGTTCCTCCAATTTCTCCTTCTTCACCAATCTGGCGAACGCGGGGGCACTAAGGCAGCAATGTGCCAAGGAATTCTCTACTCTTGACACATGGAACAGGCAGACAGTCTTAGCCTCGCCTGAAGAACTAGGGAGCCTACACTCGTGCTCCTTCAAATGGAGTGTGGCCCCGGCTGCCTCTCCCCAATCCATTCCCAGGACAATATCAAAGGGGAGGCTGTCCTCTACGAGGAGAGTCAGGGAGTGGAGAATCTTTTCCACTTTCCCGTCTTTCTCTAGGCGGAAATACTAACTATGGGGTCTGTCAACTTCTGGACTTTAAGTCCCAGCTTCAACTTCTGTAGCGCTTTCTTACTAACATAGCTGTGGGTAGCCCCTGAGTCTACTAGGGCCCCTACTCTACCTTTAAAAATCTCTACATCTAATAAGATTAGCTGCCCTTTATTCTCCTTCTTCATCTTGGCCCAGGCGGGCTTCCTCTCCTTCAACTCTTCGGCCACGTCTGTGAGGGAGGTGTCTAGCGAAACTCTAACACAAGCAGTTTCGGGACAGCTATCTAGACACCGGCCTACAACCTCTGCCATAGGCACATGTGGTGTGGGAGTCTCCTGCCAGCTAGCGCTATGTTCCCCACATGGCCTAATGGTAGGGGCAGTTGCTACCCCTACCAGCGGCTGCCTTTTGGCCCTTGGGCAGCCATTCGGGTCTCGCGATACTTAGGACAGTATTTGATGATGTGGCCCGGGTCACCGCAAAAAATGCACTGGCCCCGGTCCAATCGTTGTTGCCATAAAGTCTGGTCCAGACCCAAAGATTCCCAAGGCCTACCCTGAGGTAGCCACGGGTGCCATCCGCCTACCCTATAGGGAGACCTGTTCCTAGGACGGTTTTGCGGGGGACCTTGACCCCTGCCTCCCGCTTGGCGGTTTCCTCCTCTACCGCCAACCCCCTGATCGCCTTGAAACCGGCTCCCTGAGGCCCGTCCCCCTTGGCCCTGGCCTCGTCCTCCTCCTTGTGGCCTCCCTCCGGCCGCGACAGCAGCGTAAGTTTCCCCTGACCTACACCGCTGTCATCCTCCTCTAACCCCCACTCAATCTGGTCGTAGGGGACCTCATCCACACTACCCTCATCTAGTGTTAGGACAAGGCTATCCTTTGTCTTCACCTGCCCTGAGATAGTGCGGCCTTTCCATTGCTTTCCCTTGTCCAAGTCTTTGTGCCAGAAGGTAGACACAGATGCAGACTTGGCTTCAAAGGCCACCACCTCACGACTAAGAGAATCATAAGTGGTGGCTGGATCTTTGCTCTTCGCGAAGAAGTGCCCTCGCAAGGCTTCGGGGATAGCCCGGTAAAAGAGGCTGACCAATTGGGTGTCTGTGACCCCATGGTCAGGGACAGCGACTAGTTCGTCCATCGTGCTCTTGAGTGCCCTGGCACTCTTCCACTTACGAGCGTGGATTGTCTGGAGCCTATCTTAGGCCTTGACGCTTCGAGCGACATCTCCAAATCGCTCGCGCAGCAATCTCATGAACTCAGTGAGGGAGGTAAATGACGAATAGGCAACTGGATCGTCATTGCAGTTAGAAGCGCGCACTAGGGACCTTGCAAAACCGGCGGCCTCATCTTTAAGCGCGTGGATCGCGATCAGGACATACTGATCTAGGGAGACCTGTTGCAGATGCACATAGGTCTTAACGTTGGTTTCCTAGATGTCAAAAGTTCTCTTCCCTTTTCCCACTATAGGAATCAGGGAATTTGAACTTGACTGGCTCTCTACGCGGCGGGCGTGGTTCCTCCTCCTTGGGGGCTGCCACTTTGACGCCTTCAATGGCGCCGACGCAAAAAAGCTATGTCTTCTCGAGGCGATGATTCACCTCAGCTCCTACGGCCCCTATCAGTTCACGCACAAAGTCCCGGAATCCCATTCGCATCTAGCGCACAGCTATGTCCTGGCTTCGGCTAAATTCGTACTGCTGCTCTTGTATTTTTGCTAACCGCTCGACGCTCTGGGCAAGGATCTCTACCTTTCGTTCGAGGTCTACCTGAGGCGTCAACTTTAGACTTAGTTTCTGCACTTCTTCTAATTCCTTGACCGCCTCACTCGCCGCCTCCACCCTTCTCTTCTTCTCTCTCATCATCGCGAGTTTCCACTCCATCCTCTGTTCATCCTCCATCGCCTGCCGCTTTAGCACATCCTTTTCTCCTTCCCATTTCTTCAGGGCAGCTTCCTGGTCATCCTTGGGGGATATACATAATCACTTCTTCCTCCTCTCCCAAGAACAAGTTAGCAACCCACTCTGAACTCCGTTTCTCCATCTCATCATCCCTGTTGCCACTGTGCTGCCCTCTCCTTCTTTCTAGTGGCGGTCCCTCGTCTTCTTCCTCTTCCACCTCTTTCAGCTTCTCCTCTTCTTCCTTCTTTATTCTCTCCTTCTCTCTGGCCATCTCCTCCTCTATCTTTCTCAACTTTGCCGCCTGCTCCTCCTGCAGGGCCTTCTTTTGGCCTCCTTCTCTTTTCTCTCTTGTAAAATGGCGGCCATCTTTTCCTCCTCCTCCTTCGTGTAGGGGCTGGTGGAGGTACCACCACGAGTGGGCCCTACTCTACACGTGAAAGTGGGCCAGAAACCCAGAGGAAAGAGGAGGCGCCAGAGGGTCCCCCAGAGAGAGAATTCAACCAGCAACCCATACATCGGATAGTCGTCCATTGTGGCATCAGGTGCACGACAACGTCCCACTCCTCACCACCTAGACCTACCCGGACACACTGACCTACTGACTAACTCTCTAAGATCCACTACTCACAACTACTCTAAGGCTGTCACTACTGAACCCAAAGCTGATCAGGAGGCATTCAAGGAGATCCCCCAAACTCCGCAAGAATTCTTTAACGTCACAGACAGGACGACGTGATCAGCTTGGTTCCTCTGTCGATTTCAGCCCACAACTCAGCCGTTCCAGCCTACCGTGCCACACCGAGCAGCCCGCCGGTCTGTACCGGTCCTTGGAGGGGTTCGTATCCCTCGGGACAGTCGAGTCATCAAACACAGATCATCAGCCTTACTAGGTCCGGTAGGGGAGTGGTTCAACCAGGCCTCAACACTTAAAGACGGCCCTCGTTTTAGCCTACAGCCCGGAGTTCGGACCCTTTACACTGAACTCAGTAGACCAGCCGGACAGTACCGGTCATTGGGCTAGACGAGTTGTTTAACGAGCGCTCGCCGCTCATGCCCAGGTCTCCAGATGCCAGAGTAAGGCTTTGGTCCTACTAAGCCCGTGCAGGTTTGGCAGCAAGGCCCTATCCTTCATCCACAGAGTCCTGACACCTAGGACAGAAGAGACTCAATGCAGAAAGGAGAGAGACAGACTCAGCAAGTACCGTGGGGTAAGTGCACATCCATAGGGTAAGGGGATAGACTGAAGGGTCAACGAGATATCACCAACTCCAGCTTGGTCAAAATCTTGGTCAGCAGCTCCAGTCAACGCCTTGGTCAACCACCTTGGTCAACGTCTAGTCAACCCTTTGGTCAACCCTTGGTCAACCCTCTGGTCAACGGTCTGGTCAACGCCCGGTCAACCCCTCACCTCGGCTATGGCTGCCGGCACCTTCACCTTCGTCACCCTCGCCGTCTACTTCCCCTTCCTTCACTTT